ACACAAATATGAGATCGCACTTCTTTTTCTTAAATTTCTTTTTTCTTGATTGTTCTTCCCTTTTTGGGGGGGGGGGGGGGGCAGCGCCCTCCCCCTTGCCTCCCCTCTCTCATTTTTTTTCTCGGTAAATACTTCAATATGGCTGTTAACACTGCAGGGAACAATTAGTGATGGGAACCTGGCCATCCCTGTGCACAAACCGTATGAGACTGGTCTACATTTCTATTCCAAGTGTTTCCTAAATATTTCAATATTTTCCCCAGCTAAATTTTACTTGTTTGGACATATTATCACTTTCTGATGCATGATAGGTCACTGAAGGGGAAAAATAGTGATGGCCAGATATGGGAATCTTTCCACCTCGGATATAGCTCGATGGCCTTCCTCCATGGTCTGATCATGGAGGAATAACAACACATTCCTCCATGGTCTGATTAATGGTCCGTGGTCTGCCCACCGCACCGGCGCGCCAGCACAGTCATGACAGTGGCCAAACCCGGCCGTACACATGACATTACGTACAGACATGACAGCAGGATATGCCATTGTAAACGTTAAACAATTAAAGTCGACGTTTTCTATCATAAAAATCTAACTGTAACCAGGCTTACCTTTCGCATAGACTTCTTTTTGGCGTCGGAGGTCGTCGACGAAAACCCACTACATCCGTCATGTGTCCGTGTCGCGTGAAGCGATGCAAGGTGTCCGCCATCTTGGATGCCGCGGTAAACAATTATGTCGTCTGCACTTCTATAATGTATGGTATATAGTGGGCGCATACTGCTGCTCGACACCCTGGGGATGTTGTTCGTTTATTTCTGAGTTCTTCGTTTATTTCTGAGTTGTTCGTTTATTTCTGAGTTCGTATATATTTCTAAGTTGATCGTTTATTTCTGAGTTGATCGTTTATTTCTGAGTTGATTGTTTACTTCTGAGTTGATGGTTTATTTTTGAGTTGTTCGTTTATTTCTGAGTTGTTCGTTTATTTCTGAGTTGTACGTTTATTTTTAAGTTGTTCGTTTATTTCTGAGTTGTACGTTTATTTTTAAGTTGTTCGTTTAGTTTTGAGTTGTTCGTTTATTTCTGAGTTGTTCGTTTATTTCTGAGTTATATTTGTTTATTTCTGAATTGTTTGTTTATTTCTGAATTGTTCGTTTATTTCTTAGTTGTTCGTTTATTTCTGAGTTATATTCGTTTATTTCTGTGTTGTTCGTTTATTTCTGTGTGTTTTCGTTTAATTTTGTGGTTTTGTTTTATTTTTGTTTTTGTCTTTTTTGCCCTAATGGCCGCCCATATGCTGTTGGGTATGTACTTGTACACGCTTGGCTAACTCAGCCATAAGGTTGCAAAGGGCGATTTGTAAAGGTTACGTAACACTTTATTTTGAATAAAACTACATGAACACAGACATGTTCAACGTTCACGTTGGCAGGTGAAATCTTTGAAAATTAATTTCTCCCGTATGAAAGACCGTGTATACATGCAACTTTCTGGATTTATTTCCCCTATAATGATCCAAGTATGTGCTCAAAATCGTTGTGATATGTTCATTACTTTTCGTTGAAATTGGAAAAAAGGCCTGGCTTCGTGCAATTTTGAAAATTGTAATACTGGCATCCGCAATATCTATTAATCTTTTCAAGCCTCACGAATATTAATGAGGTTCCTATCCATTAAAGTGTGCAGTAAACTAAATTGCATAAAAGCCCCTTTCACGAGTTGTTAATTAACAAATATCACCCTTTTTGCCGACTTACATCGGTCGATACCTGGGACCCACGCCATGTCACGCCGAGTGACGCTAATGAATATGCTAATATGCCCTTCATCATTGTGTGCCGGGTCGAAATCGGTCAGCCTTAGCGCCTACGGCGCTTTGCCGCCGACCATGCACGACCTGTAGGATGCCGAAACGACGCTGAAGAAGTCGTTCCGATAAAGTTCAAATGTCGTTTCTAGTTTCACGCTGTCGTCGAATCCTGTGTCTGAGCACTGTTCTATCGTGATCTGGAGGCTACATCGTGACAAGTGTGACAGGCGCCTAAGATAATATTACATTAATGAGTTATGTCCTCGAGTCAAGTGTGTCCCTTTCAACACATATGTAACTGAAATACACATTTCAAAAATGTTAATTTACACTAATCCAAAACGAATTTCACAACAGGTGATTTTCCACTTGTCAATACGACCAACCAAACGACCACTAGGGAAGCTACGAACAAGCTACCTACTACTGACAAAGTAATTGCATCCACATACGCCTCGACAGACCGAACAAACACTACAGAGCCAATCTCCGAGCCATCCACTACTGAACAAATTACCGGGGTAGCAACAGATCCCTCGAACGACCAAACGTCCACCGATGCAGCAACGACCCAGCTTTCCACGACTGTTGAAGACAGTGAGACGACAACAGGTGCCACGATCAGCCAAACATCCACTGCAGGAAAAACTCCCCGGCCATCTACTACTGGTCAAGGGGGCGGGGCTACACCAACTATTGCCGAAAACGACGAAACAACCACCACAGAAGCAACAACTGTTGAACGAGTCACCTCGACCGACGATACACCCACTGCAAAAACAACGAACAAGATCTCCTCAACTCCGACACCTCAAGGGGTTGATAAAGGTAAGATATTATTTGATCCATGTTCATGCAGTGTTGTAGTCGAGCCCATCACAAGTCCATCACAAGTTAAGTCTTAAGTCACAAGCCACTGAAATGAACTGTGGCAGTCCTTCATATTGTTCTCCCGTGTATAAATTGTTACTGGCCCAGTAAAAGGACTTGGGATTCACTTTTAGTAACAATAATAATATTAATAATAATAATAATAAGGCCAAAAAAAAAAAGTTGGTCTCTGGTCAGCGCGCGCGTCAATTTTAACCATGAGCGTCGATCTTTTTTTTTCCAAAATGTTCCGCGGTAGCTCCAACAGCGCCCTCTATTTCCGCATCTCCTCAATTGTTTTTACCAAAGAGCACCAAGGAATGGGAAATTGCACCAAGGCAAATGATCGAAAGCACCACGGCAAATTATGGAGGACACCAATGTACATGAGGACACCAAAAGAGCAAAATAGTACCCACCTTGTCTGTACAATCCAAGCTTGAAGAAAGAAAAAAAAAGCCGCGTGGCCGCGTCAATTCCGGAACTTTGGTCTGACCAGAGACCGAATATTTTTTTTTTTTTTGCCTAATAATAATAATAACTTTTCCCGCTTTGCTACAATAGGTCGACTTTCCCATAGACTTGTGCACAAAACTAAACTGTCACCTAACCCAAGTTAATCTTTGGGGCATCATGCACGATCGCTAATAGTATCAACTCACCCCAACTTGTTTCGATGCGTGTTTCCTGCACTGTTCTCCCGCACGGCGGCTGGCCGACGTTGCCTCGACTACCGCGAGACAGAACGGGCGATAATTCCGCAAGCGTGCATGTACAAACGTTCACAAAGTTTTACTGACGGACGGACTAAGACGACGAGTACTAAATAACTACTGGAAAACTTAAAAATTGTTGAAGAACGACGATGATGAAAACTGGCAGAGTTGGCACTTCTAAAATACGTTAATTCGACGATAAGACATAAGAAACAGAGGCCGTCCTTCGCATGTGCTTGTAAACCAACGAAAAGTCTATGGTGGAACACATAGTATGTACAGGTACCAGCGACACGCGAAATGTTGACAGGTCAAAGTATAACGAAATGTTGACAGGTCAAAGTGCGCGCAGGGGAGGTCACCACAAATCCTTTTTCCACGAAATTCGGTATTTTGACCACTGAACCAATCTAACTAACCTTACTTATTATTATTAATAATTCATAAATACCTTAGACAGTTTACGCTTTCTTATTGGGCGAGAGCCCGTCACGTGGCCGGTCTTAAACGGATGATGAAGACATGGCTAGCTGGTCTTAAACACTTTTTCAGTGTCACATGAAATTTGGACTCCCATGAAATCCGGTGTCTTTTAAAGGTAGAGTCCATCATTTGTAATTTGTGCATTTTGTTCGTTTGAAGCAACAAAAGAGTTCAAAATCTAATGAAGGATACTGAGCAACTAACCTGATGAAGTTTCAGCTAAGCTTCAGCTGTACATTCCGAGAAAAACAGCATTCTAAGATCTCATTTTCAAATCAAAAGTTGCTGAATCATGTTTTGAATTGCAACTATACGCGACGTCGCGCACTGATCCGACGAATTGTAACAACCGCGCGCGCGTGTGCGTCGTTCGAATACTTGTGCGCGCTGCGCTGAATAACAAAACGAACTACTAATTTAAATTTTCCTACGGTGCTTCTTAAGAATCACCGTTGGAAATGCCTTCTTTCGTTGATTACTTCAAAATGACAGCTTCCCAGAAAGAATAATTTCACAGGGAGTTTAGTCCCCTTACTATCTTTTAACCAAGTTAGTTTTTCAACAATAATTACGCCAGTTACTTTTCGGATGGCTGCAAATGATGGACTCTACCTTTAACGTTACATTGGTTGAACGTTCACATTTCTCACGTATGCATGCGCAATACTACCAGTGAATCAGTATTTCATGGTCCGAAATTCACACTACACCAGCCCAGCTGCGTTTTGCGCGACATCGTGCAGTACGCGCGACGCGCACGCCAATGTCCTTATAAGGTAACGAGTTGTGGGGGGGCATTCCATATTATAGTCAGAGGGATGTTTGGTAAAACATGAAGTAAAAATGTTGAACAAATGGTTGGCAACGTCTAGTTTTTGACTTGTTTTGATTTTTTACCGAAAAGGTAATGTGGTCGGTCGGCATTAAACACTCTGTTTAAGACCGGTGGGAGTCTTGATGGGTAACAATTACCCTCGGCTTCGCCTCGGGTAATTATCACCCATCCGGAATCCCACGGGTCTTAAACAGAGTGTTATAATACCTCCCGAACACACATTTATTTCCTTGTCAAACACCATTGCCTTCATGCTTTTCACCACCTCATTCAACGGGAATTAATTATGCATGTTTCCACTGACCCAGATGTAGTTGCCCCTGGCGTGTTGGGTTCACTACTGGGTGTTACTGTTGCTGCATTCATTGTGTATGTCGTGTGGACAAGAGTCAAACAAAGAAGACACAATCCTGGTGATGAGGCTGTTCAACCTATTGATGAAATAGTGAGTTTTCAGTTTGTGGTCCCGCTTTCTCCCAAGTACCCAATGTTTGTATTTTTCAAATTGAATTTCAAATTGAATTTCAAATACATGTTTACAACAACTAATTACTTTGAAAAAAGGCCTGGTTCAGACACGACCCCAATTCTGAATCCAGATTTGCTCGGCTCAGTTTGAGTTAAACGGACCCAAACCGCTTAGTCAAAAATGTTGACCCATAAACAATCGTTTGCCAACCGACAAAACTGTGTCAAAGGTCAACTCACAAAACTGAGTCGAGTCAACCCACAAAACTGGGTCAAAGTTCAATCCACAAAACTGGGTCAAAAGGTCTATCCACAACACTGTGAGATAGTCATTATAACTTCCAACGATTTACTTTTTTTGGGGGGGTTCATTCTTAGAGATGATGTAACCACTTTCGACGAGATAGTGAAAGGGACAAGGAAAAAGGGACCCTAAATTTATAGATTGACCCACGTGCAATATTTAAATTAATCAGCACATTTGCCCTTCTGCGTATTTGTTCCTGCCTCCATAATGCGAATTCTGAGTAATTAGCTAAATAAACTAGACTACATTATCAGTACATGACTGGCGAAAAAAAATATGCATGAATCAGTGGACTTTAGTTGTTCTCGAATGATTCACCGTCCATGTTTGTATGGTGCTCAGTGAGTGCAGTAGTGAAGGTCGCACTCAGCCATCTTTTGATTCTCGTGCAAACCATTCTTCTGTATGTGGGACCTATTGTTTTTTTACAGGAACTCACAGTTATTGGTGTCCGGATGGGACCAGAGGGCGTTGACTCCATGGTCTATGCAGATACGGGCCTTCCAGAATGGGCTAGCAAATGGGAGATATTGTGGAGCAATCTCGTTGTTGAGGAGCAGGTACTCGGCAGAGGCAACTTTGGGGAAGTCAAGAAAGGAACTGTAAAAAAAGATGGAAAGGAAATCCAATCTGCAATCAAGATGCTCAAAGGTAAGAGTAAAGACATACAATTAAATCATTTAAAAAAACAAACAAAGAAATTGACTTTTTTACAAAAAAATAAATTGAACACATGTGGAGGAATGCATGACTGCAAAATGTACTGAGTGACATACTTCGTAAACGAAGAAGATGGCACAGTATGTAACATCACATTAAATGGTTACCGCTCGATAGTCCAAGTTCAAGAGTTAAGTAGTCCGCCTTTACCATGGACAACTTGTGGTGTACTTTGTTCGAGGTACCTCGCAAATATGTATCAATATTTATTGGGTAATTGGAACAAAATAATCATACCACCGGTCCACACACATGCAATACAAAAAATATATTCAATATTTCAACTTCAAGTTATCAGGAGACTTTTATAACTAGAAAGCACTCAGAGAGCGGAAACCTCCGCCAAGGACAAACAATTCCCCGCCATATTGTCAGTATACCCGAAAAAAATACTCGCAAAAGTGGTGAAGAATCGTTAAGATAAATCCTGGATCCAGACCCAGATCCGGATCACTTCCAAAAATCTAATCCATTTGTATGCACCAAGAACCAATCCTACTACAAAAAAAGGATGCAAATCCGTCCATAACTTTTGGGTTATCTTGTTAGTAGACAAGCTAACCAACCAACAAACAAACAAACTAACCAAATCCGATGAAAACATAACTTCCTTGGCGGCGGTAAAAAGGTAGACACTGCTCAACTGATATCAACTACGATCCACGAGCTGAAGCATTCCAAAGCCCTTTACGTTGCAACACCTGTGATTCCTTTATCATTCAAGCTATTTCCTTTTACTACAGGCCAGGCATCAGACAGGGACCAGAAGGACTTTATGGATGAATTCCGCACCATGTCAGTCATCGGCTACCACCTGAATGTTGTGTCATTGCTAGGTGCTTGCCAGCATCAGGGTATGCAAACTGTGCATCAGCACCACGGCCCAATTGTTTCAGAACCAAAGAGTTAATATTTGAAGTCATTTGACTGGATATATTAAGGTTTCAGTTATGGAAACGATTAATATCTCAAGTCTCAAATTCTGAACGAATGCAAAAAGCCTTGCTACTTTGTCACTGAATTGGCATGTTTAGTCCCCAATCATTAATGTCGGATGGCTATGCTGCTCAGTCGAATACCGGCCAGGGTTGCAAATGCGTAGGGAATGTTTTTTTAGAAATATGTCAAGTTATGAGAGGACCAGCCATTTTATTTATCAAAATGCTGGATACCAATGTTTCGGAAACAGGTCACATATAGCCCACAACAGGTTTTGCCACCACAGAGTGCCAAGATCCCAACAATGAGCTGGGGTCTACCTGATGATCCCCAATACCTATGTTCCCCAAAATCCTTAGGGCGCAGGTTAGGGTTAGGGTTGGAGAACATAGGTATTGGGGAACATAGGTATTGGGGAACATAGTTATGCAGCCATAAGCTGGTACAGAGCCCAAACTACAAGGTAAACCTGAACAATTAGGTAAGGCCTAACTCCTAATATGCATGATAGACTTAATCAATGTCCAACACCTTACATGTTCCAAAAGGTTTCAAACAGAAACTATTTCGTTAAGTTGTCCACCATTCACCTTGTGGCTAATAAATACACCCCTATGGTGACCCAAATCATTATGTCTAAATGTATTCCCATCTTTCTCAAAATCCCAAAACCAGCATCAGTTTTTGGAACAAGACATGTTTTCTCCTTATCTGTAAGATGTTCTGTATGTTGCTTTGGAGTTTCTACCCAACGGTGACCTTCATAGCTACCTCACGGGACTTGTAAACTCCAACACGGCGCACATTCTGACTTCAACAAAACTAGTGAAGTTTGCTCTGGACGTTGCCAGGGGAATGAAGCATCTTTCTGATTTAGGGGTATGTGTATCCCATTGATCATTTTAGGAATTTGTGGATCGCAGGAAAACCAGGGTTAAGCCTGGAAATATTCGGGTACATTAAGCCACGCCCCTGGTGTTCTGACCAATCACAGCGTGATTATCTGAGAAAGTCTGACATGAAAGCAATTGCGTATGAAGCACGCAACTGGATTATGTAACGTGCAGCGTGTCATTGGCGATCGAGGCACACGTACTGTCATTGTGCGCAGCGCAGTAACATACATAATTGTTTTGGGGTAATGTTGGGAAGTGGGATCGAGAGGTGGTACTTGTACCTACTTCCTGGTTATCCATCTAGCGAACATGTCTCAAGAAAAGATGCCTTTGTCTGTTGAGTGTGTTTTCCTCAGTTATGAGGTCCCCCTTCCTTTTTTTCAAAAGTTGTTTTACCAAATACTATGACAGCATTCACTTACCTCCATTCGTGACAGGTGATACACCGAGATCTAGCTGCCAGAAATATCCTCCTGGGAGAGGCATTAATTGCCAAAGTGTCTGATTTTGGACTGTCCCGAGAACAGAACATCTATGTCCAGACATCTACGGTAAGTTTGAAGTACATGGATTGTTCTAACTTCGACTTAATATCTAAAACACTTTTACTTGGTGTGAATAGCAAAAACGTAGAGGCTACGCTTAAAGGAAATATACAACGTTTGTTTTTGCTGCATTTTCAGATATATATGGATTTGTAGGTTTAGTACGTTATAGCAAATATTGTTAAACTGACTTGCTTCACGTTTTGGTTCGGAGATGCTGGAAAATCCAAGAAAACCAACCATGTTCTTGTAGTCTGGTTCCCTGACCCCACTTAAGATGAAACAATTTATAGACTTTGGGAAATTGTAAGGTCAGAGAATCAGTCTAGCAGGCTTGTACCCCTTCGCATGTGTGTAATCAATTGCAAAGAAAATGCGGAGTATGAAAAGTACGAGCAGCTTTTGAAAAAAAGGCCAGTGTTCTCCAACGCTGGTCGGCCGACCATTGTTGGAAAATACAAGTTTTCTTGAAAATGTCAGTACACCAGGAACCACAATGCTACACGATGCTTTGAACTATCATTCCATAACAATCCAGCAAGATATTTGGCGATAATTTGATCATTTCGTTTTTTGATGTTTGCAAATGTTGTATCTTCCCTTTAAACAAGGAGAAGTTCAGTGGTTGCAAGAAGGTGTTATCATTTCAGAATGGGATAAGAATTGTTTTGCACTCTTTTAAATATGATTTCTTGTATGTTTCTTCCCAACTTTGGACTTAACAGAGATGTGTTCCTGCTCGCTGGCTTGCCATTGAATCTTTAAAGCACAAGACCTATACTACCCAGAGTGATGTGTAAGTTAACAATATGAAGAATTGTAACGTTTGTTTGATTGTTTGTTTTGTTTTTGTCGAATTGTGGGCCTACAATCGGTCGCATAATTTTTTTTTCTTTAAGGACACTTTTTGAAACTGCGCGTTATATTAGTTTATTGATTTCGTGGTAATGAAACCAAGGATCCCACTTGTGGTTCGAAAGCCTGAAGAAACCTGAAGAAAATGTGGGAGGAGAGCCATAGAAGAATAGCGTGTGTGTATACCAAAGAAATCAGTTAGGGACTGAATCCCAATTAACATGTGGTCCGGACAGGAATCGAACCCGGGCCATAGTGGTGGAAGGCGAGGACAGTAACCACTGCGCCAACCTCACTCCCCTGTTAATAGTAGTGGACAGAGGCATTTTATGCGATCGAGACCTGCTTTGCACTAACGACAAACAATAGCTGTCTTAGATCACCCTTGGTCTCTTGGTAGGCCTATGTTTTTGATGTTTTTCTTTTGGTATTTAGGGAACAATATTTTGATAACTCTGTTTGTAATTCAAAGCTTCCCAAAAAGTTTCCAAAACTTGTCTTATTGATTCTGACTTTAGGTGGTCGTTCGGAATTTTCCTCTGGGAAATAGCAACACTAGGTAAGATATGCATGTTTTTTATTTGTGTGATTCTTTTCTTCGAAATAGTCCATAATTTATGTACATGTTTCATCTTAACAAAAAGAGGTCATTGATATTATCCTTTAAACAGACCTGACCTTTGACTTTCTTCCTTTGAAACTGATTCATTGTCACACGTTACAACTCATGAGGTCACTATCAAACTGAGTTATAATTCTTGTTTATGGTTTCTGTGTTTATAATTATTCCAGGGTTTTAAAGGTAATTATGCAACATACGGAAACATTCAAAAGAGAAAACTACCAAATAGTTGTTGCCTGTCAATTGCCTGTAAGTGAATAAAATAGTCTCAAGCATCCTGTGAAATTATATGGCACCTGTTGTGCTGTCATATTCAAGAAGAGTAGAATTTTGGTATCAATTTCCAACGATGTTTGGCCAACCATCGTTGGAAAAAAATCTGACCTTTTTGTCAACTGCTGCTTCAAATTTACCTATAGTTAGTTCACTTTTGTTTTGTAATCAGTTCAAATCTGTTAACGGGTGCAAGCAAGGTATAGTCTGATTCCTGACCAGACAATTCCCGACGTCTACAGATTGCTTGGTTTCTTTTGAAGTAGGGTCAGGGAACCAGACTATTTCTGTTTTTTTCCAGCATTCATGAACACAACACTTTAAACCGGTCAGTGTAACATTGCTTACTATAAGATAACCCCCGACTCCATCCATTTCTGAAATTTACAGCAAAAGTAAATGCTGTATACACCTTTAATTCTGTCATAATATCACCTGTATAAAAACATGTCTAAATTAACCCCTTATACCACAATGTTAAACAAAGCTTCCTTAAAATCAGTTCATATAGAAGTTGCAAACTCCCTTAAGATTTCAATACAGATGGTAAAACTTAGTATCTTCACATAAACCCATTTTGCCAGATCTGTTTGAGCTTATGCTTGAGGAATGAGTGATTTTGCTGATATGTTAGGGTCAGATTTATTTCAGGCTTTATTTGTAATCAAGAAACATTTATTCAATATTGTTTTTTTCTCTTATTGTAATAAAGGAGGTGTACCATACCCAGACATTATGTCAAGAGCATTGGCGGGTAAGCTTGAAGAAGGATATCGCATGCCCAAACCAGGCAACTGCCACCGAGACATGTAAGTTTTATGACCAAATAAGGCGAACAATTCATGTGACCCTATTGTGGCATAAATATGAAAATCGTGAACACTTGCCATTATGTGACTTTTTACGAAGTATAAGCAAATGTGATTCTACTTGCATAACTAGTCCCTGTTACATATCAACTATGGTTTTATAATGATGTGAATTTCTTGATGCAGTCGCCCACTAAGAGTGATCACGAATAGAAAGTTACCTACCCAACAAATACACGATTCGATTGAAGTCATTCTTAATGATACTTGAATTGCAAATTACAGATTACTTTTTGTGCACTTTTACACACCCAGTGTTACGGTCGTGCTGCAGTTTGCGCAGCACACGTTTGAATAGAGTCCCCAGCTACACTACTTGTGCTCTCTGTCAGTTTGGGGTGTTCTTGTGCTCTGACGACTGAAAACAGCCATCATTTCAGCTTGGTGACCCTAATCTTGACAGAATGATTGGTTTAATCACTGCGGCAAAGCTGGCTTGACACAATATAATGATTGTATTGCATAACATGTGGTTCTTGTCAGAGGGCTCGGGTTTGGCTAGGATTTTCAGGCTGAATTGTTCTAGGCACTGACGATGCAATTTGGCAATGTTCAAATGATGCAATGTTCGAATGAGGAATTTGCGGAATCTGATTTGGACGATTAATTTTTCTCTCAAACCAATTGTCAAGTAACTTCCCAAGGCCAACATAAAACCAGCCTAATAGGCTGCCTGAGGGAGTAAGGATGGGTAAAGGGCCTGTGTGGGATATCCTTTGCACAGTACTTAATCTACAGACGCAAAGAACGGGCTTGCACCTATTTCAGTCAGGCTTTGTTTCTTAGCCAGGTAAATCCATGATAAACCAACTTGATCTGCCTAACCACACTTAATGTTAATGATGTCTTGATGTCTAGTTATAGCTTGATGCGCCTGTGCTGGGATGAAGATCCAAACAAAAGACCTACCTTCACTCACCTGGTTTCTCACCTGAGTAAGATGGATGCCAACAAAATAAGACATGTGAGTACCAAGGCATACAAGATAAATGTAGGAACTGTGTAGGAACAGTAATTGTTTATCCTGATTACTGTCGCCCATTTTAGACCTAAATGTCGGCAAAAACGTAGCATAAGAAAAAACGTAGCCGAGCATTGTCTGTGTCTGACAGTAGCTGTTGCTTCTTTTGATGAGCCATAGGTATTGCTATTTTTATTTAATTTATTTCTGGCAATGAAACCAAGGATTCCTGAAAAGTGCCCTAGGCACTGTAGCTCGAAAGCCTGAAAAAATCTATTGCGAGACAGTGAGAAGAAATACAGTTTTAGATGTGGTAGGAAAACCCCAGAAGAGTATTCAAGGAACTGAAACCCATCCACATGTGGTCCGGGCAGGAATTGAACCCGGGCCATAGCAGTGGACGGCGAGGGAAGCAACCTCTGCTCCAACCTGACTCTCCTATGTGCCGATAAGTGTCTATGTTCCTCTTACCGTTTGAACCATCACAGAGACTCGTGATCTTTACAGTTAGTATCATACTTTTATAGGTAGAGAATTCCTTACAGATATTGAAGTCATTGATTGTTTTTCACAGGAGGGAAAGCTTTGTCCAGATTGTCAGTATAATTATGTAGAGTAGTAGATGGATTATAAGTGAAAGACTGGGTTTTCATGTTTAGATCTATTTTGTTCTGTCTCGTGTGGGTATACATTTATGAGCCATTATTGGCCTATGCAATATGTAGACTTTCGTCAAGATTGTGTGATGGGAACATGCATGTCTAGCTTCACTCAGTCATCTCACATGTTATTTACAGTTTCATGATTTGCTAAGCGTTTGTCAAGGAATACGCCTAATGCATTCTCACCCTGTGTATTTTTTAATATGGAGTACTG